CCATTCGAAACCACCAGCTGCTGCACAGGAGGATGAGCCTTTTTGCTCCCATAAAAATTATAGCCTTGTGAGCCCTATAGTAGTGGTTCTCAACCTTCCTACTGCCACGACCCTCATACAATTATTTTCATTGATACTTCATCACTGTCATTTTGCTAGTTATGAATCGGCTGACACTTGTGAAAGGGTCATTTGACCCCCAAAGGGGTCTCGACCCACTGCCCTATAGGGAGGGATAGTTCTACTCTGCCCTATAGGGTCGTTATGAGTCGGAATCAATTTGATTTTTTTCCCCTTGGTTTTTGAATAGCACAGAGATGGTTTTAATCTTAGCTCTGCCACAAACCAGCTGAGTGAGCTGGGGCAGTCACTCCTCAGGGGGTAAAAGGAGGATCCGACTAAATGATCTGTCTGGGCTTTGAGTCAACTTGATAGATCCATTCCTGCTTGTCCTCTCCAGGAAAGAGGACAACAAAACTCCTTTTCACCCACCCCAGCTGCGGAGAAACCGGAATTCTATGGGAGATTGTCAGAATTCTTTGAATCCGGGCAAAGTCTGCCATCTTATTTTCTGATCTATTCAAAAGTGTAAATATAAGAAGGCTTCCCAAAGTTCATGGGAAAACTCCATTATCTTTCCATGATGTTTCCCCACAAACTTTATGTCCTTCCTTAAAGGACAGGGATGCCACCACCAAACTGGCCGTCTTCGGGGCCAAGGGGAATGAAGTCGCCTCATTGGGAGAACTGGAAACACGCAGTCTCTGCTTTCCCATGGCCTCAGCGTTTCTAGGTTGGGTTGTACACATGTGTCAAAAGAAGGTGGAAAGCACACAGTGGCAGAGAGAGAGGGACAAAGAGGAAAGAGAGGAAACGGGCCAAGTGAACAAACCAGGTTCCAGGTCAGTCTTGTACTCTCCTGCAATTGCTATGCCTTCATGGGAGGATGGCAAGTGCGAGCTTGAGGCAAAATATTTGTGTTTCTGTGGGAAAGGACAGCAAAAGCTGCTGTCTTTGCTAAACACTCTGCCTTTATTTTGAAATGGGAGGGGTTGAGGAGGCGGATGCTTACTGGATACTGGAATTCCTCAGTTCTTTTCTTTTTAATGAAACATTTCAAACATACAGTGTGGTATAATACACTTCTGTGTATCTCATTCAGCTCCAGCCATTCCTGATTCATGGACCCGGACACACACACACACACCGCCTTCTATCTCCTATCATTTCTCTACCCCCATTATTTTGAAGAAAAATCTCAGGCACCATATAATTTTCTCTGTAAATAGTCTAAAAAGACTGTAATCATACCATTATGCATAAAGAATGTAACTATTTGGCTTCAAATACCCAGTTAGTACTGGGTATTTTTCAGATTATCTAATTCAAAAGTGTATTTGGATCAGAATCCAAATAAGATCCATGTATTACAATGGTTTGATATACGTCTTTAACTCACAGCTTCCCTCTTCAGCTCTATCATGTAATTCCTATTTTGTTGAAGAAATTGTACCTTACAGTTTCCTGGATAATAGATTCAGGTTTGATTTTCTTAGCAAAGCTTGGTAGGTGGTGGTGGGAACTTCCATCAAGAAGCACAATGTCTGGTTATCCTTTGTTGGTTAACATGTAAATCCTTATTTCATTAGGGGCTACAAAGCGGAGATATTCCACCACTCATTCATTAGCTGGCAACTGCTACACAATCTTCTCTTCGTTAGCTATTGGTTACCCTGAGGTAGTTTGTAGAGGGGAGATAGAAAATTCTTTCCCTTTACCACTTCAAAGTTATAAATTGATTCTTTTAACATACACTAGCAGGACTAAAAAACGTTTCTGACAATCATTATGAAGCTATGGCTTTACACATATTTAATGCTTCAATCCACTGTGGTTATTGTCTTAATTGATGCTCCAAATGGCTTCTGTACTTTTAAGCCGTGCCGTTCATTATGATAAACCTGTTATTCTACAGCTACTTGAGTTTTGGTTTATATGTGAGAAAGGAACTTGGTTTAATTCAAGTCCACAATAATAGCATGTCATAAGTAGCCCATCTCCAAGGAAAGCAGAAAGGGAGGATTTTGCTAGAGAAAGTACTAATAATGTGATACCAAATTGACAGTACTTTATAAAAAGCAAACTTGATGTTTTCATATTACCCTGAAGAAAATTATAATCAGAACAACCAAGTGTGTCACAAATGTGACTTAGAAGACTGACCGGAAGTGTGGAACACAATTTTCAGATGATGATTTATAAAATTGATTCAGTGCTAGCACTTTTGGGAATCCATGGAAAATCAGTTAATCTTTAAGTAAAGTCCTGGTCAGGGCATATTTGAGCAGTTTGGCGTCAAGTCCAGATCAAATTCAAACTAAACTCATTGCACTGAGTCAATACCAACTCATAGCAACCCTATAGAATTAGAACTGCCCCAGTGGGTTTCCGAAACTAACTCAATGGGAGTCAAAAGCTTCATCTTTCTCCGGATTAGCTGCTGTTGGTTTTGAACGGTTGACCTTATGGTTAGCTAGGTTTGGAGAATATCCTTGAGTTTGAGGCATGATATACCCATACTTCTAGATAAAACCTGTTGCTTTAGAGTCTCAAATTGCTCATGCTTTTAGTAAGATTAAGTACCATTGAACCCTGGTGGCAGTCAAGCATTGGACTGCTAACCTAAAGACTGGCAGTTAAACCCATCATCTGCTCTGGGGAGAGGCTGTCTATTCTTATAATGATGTATTAGCCTCAGCTTTCTATGAGTTGAAATTGACTACCTGGCAGTGGTTTTTCTGTTTTGTTCAAATGAGACTTCCATAATCATGCATATATAAGAGCTTTTAGTCTTGCAGTTGGTTCTGGGGATTGCTCAAATGTACAAATTAAAATACCTCAGGGTCTAAATTCTAGATTTTCTCTAGATCTAGGAAGATTTTATATTACCCTTGAAGTCATCGCTCTCAGGAAAACTAAATTCAGTGGATAAAGGGATATATATATTATTAGGTATGTGTATAAGAAAAAGCTTTATATCAAAGAGCAATTATATATTGAGAGAAAACCCCAGTCCAGTCCAGGTTAAGTCCATAAATCTGCTATTAGCCAATATGACTGTTACCAGTCTATAAATTTTTCTATAGACTTACGCAGCACTTGCAATGATGCCGAATGCAGGAAGAAAGGGCAGTGGGTGGAAAGTCTTGTGGCTCCAGTGGCAGTGGAAGCATATCAGCGCTGGCTGTCTATGACTTCTAATTCACAGTACTTAATACCAACCAGTTTCATTGGAAAAATATAATTTTTCCATGAACTTTTTGAAGCACTCTCATGTTATGTGTGCAGGTATATAGCTATGCTTCTAGATAATACACATGCATAGAGTGACTTGTAAGGGTGCCATCTCCGCTGTTTAATTTGGATGACTTTACAACCTTGCATGACACATTCTGCGACTGAGCA